TGTCTTTCGAATAAAATCAAGCGGTCCGCGACCGTGCCGCAATCCCTTATCTCATGCGTTTTTATTATTCAGTCGCAGCGAAACTGACGATGTCGGTGCTCTCGCGATTTTGCTTGAATATGGCAGCCAATGTGGGCCTCCAGTACGCCGCCGAGTTGTTGCCGACCCCCATTAGGACGCAGGGCGTCGCATTGATCCACATTTTTGGCATTGTGGCCCATTCCGTCGCGCCGTACGTGGTGGATAGCGTAAGTGACCTTTTGTATTCTTTACTTAGGAAAAAGACGATATTGTGGAACAATTGACACAACTATTCTGCATTATGCATGACAACGTAATTAGTAGTATTATTAGAAAACTATATTTTTGTAGTGGAGATTCTAGCGGAGAAGTTTAATTACATTTAAAATATATCTTATTATAAATGGTCTATTATTGTCAATCACAAATAATTAAAAAACTTTAAGAAATTTTTCCCAATTCAATATAGACTTCGGCAGGCGAATATTGAACACCCTATCGTATATTGCGTCCATTATTTAATTATTTTTTGGTGTATCGATTTAGAATGAACACATTAGAACTTTCGTTGAGGACAAAAATGCAAGCTTTATTCGCGTCGCTCGGTATTTTTAGTCAATCAATCGAAATTGTTTTAGGCCAAGGTTTGGGACGGGCTGCCGATGATGATCATCAGCGTCGTGTCATTTGCAGCCGCTACCCTGGTATTGTTCCTACCGGAGACGCTCGGTCGCGACCTCCCGCAGACCCTACGTCAAGGAGAGGACTTCGGCAAGGAACAAAGCTTCTGGACGATGCCCTGCTGCGGAAGACCGTGTCCGAATCGACATCGACATTATCGTCCACGCGAGCTCTAGTCCGTTCAACTCCGTTATATAATAATCTTCGGCGCGATCGTCGAAGAAATGTAATTAGAAAAAAAGATACTTGCGTCTCGCGCGGCACGTGATAATATGATAAAGTAATTAAGCTTCTTTTTGTACGAATTAATAAAGTTCATAGATAAGATCGGAATAATAATCTTCCGATCTGAGGAGCATTTTCTAGGGAGATTTACTTTTTTTTGAGAGTAAATACATTAGAACGGAATTTACACGATGATAAAACAATTTGTTTTTTTATTTTACACTGTTACTTAACCACTTTCAGATGGCAATGAGCGAAAAAGTATGTTGACATCTTCCGCGATTTTCGAAGAAATTTCCAAGTTTTTGGCAGTGAAAGATGAGAAACATGTCTTTATGCGGTGAACGCGGTGCCCCAGCCTATATACATTAATTAAATTACTTAAAGTCTTCTATTTACATAATGAAAATTAATTCGTGATTGCCATCGCTGCTAACAATTTCGCAACAATTCTTGATGATACATCAAGAAAGCGATGACAGAACTTTTATTCGTTCGCACAGTTTATCTAGGTTCGTTGTATCTTTTCGAGAGTATCAAGTGTAACAAGGCGATCTCTGTATCTGTATCTCGATACGGAAAATGAGCAGTTTTTTATATACCGTGGGTCAGAAATATCGTTTGGGCAAGGCAAAAAACAATGAGCGATGGGATGTGGACATCCCTTTGTAATAGACATCTTAATCCCGCTGAATGTAGCGAACGCGTATATGAATATCTATATAGGTATATACGCGATATTTTTACTCGTGAGTAAATAAAATGCGACATTTGGCACACCAAGTTTCGCCACCCTATGCAATGTAAAAAAATCGAATACGTCGGATATTACACCGATCTCGAGCCTCGTGATATCTCGCGAACGGTATGAAAAAGTCAGCTGGCTCGTCAATCTAGTCTCGCTAAAACTACGCTTACAATTAATCAAATAACTTTGTACACAGCTGCATCCTGAAAAAGAGCGGCGAAAGTCGAAGTCGCATCGCGAAGAAACGATTCGGAAAAATAATCTGGCACTCTCGAGATAGTCGCGTCGACTTCGAAGTTGCGCATTCACGTTTGCATTCGTGTCTATCTGAGCGTGCACCTTGCCGGATGCATGGAATTGAATCCTGCATTCTTATTTCCTATTTATGTCCCTCTTCACCACCGTGCGCGTTGGTGCAACACCGCACTTGACGTGTCCATATCGCGTCACTTGTTATAGTTTAACACCTAAGATCACACACACGCGGACGATATTGACCGCGATATTTACAACGATTTGGCAAATTATACGTAACCACGCGAATACGTTATAATCTTGTACAGTCCATAGTTTGAATACTGCCGTGATGGAAGGCCGCGTTCGTCATGCCCTCCTTCTTCTTCTTCTTCCTCAGCGATTTCTTCAATTTCGGGGTTCTGCAAAAATTTCGGGAATAAAGAGATAAGTTTACGTAATTATTACTAACAAGGAAACCTCGCGAACCAAAAAAATTCTAATTTTAAATCGGAATTTTTAAATTTAAATTTCTTTTCAAAAATTATTTTTTAAAAATATAATTAATATAGTTAAATAGAGGTGTTCTTGCCATAAAACTTTTGTATAAAACATTTTTTGATATCTCGAATATTTTTCGAGATATATCGAGAAAAACCGCTCTACACATGAGGGGTAGTTTTACCCCTTTACACCACATATTTTTAGGCCGCAACTAAAAATTTCGAAATTCGTCTATTTACTAACTCCCTCCCCCTCCACACTTATGTATAAAGTTTCATTAAGGTCAGAATTTTCAGATTTGCAAGATTCTCTTGTAAGAAATACAGAGGGACTCTCTTCTTTTTTTTTACTTGAATCTAATACGAAAGAAGATAAGAGGAAACAAAAAAGGAGGAAAGATAGAAGAAGAGGGAAGAGAGAAAGAGAGAGAAAAGAAAAAAGATGTAATTATAGAGAACTTACGAAGATATGCAAGGAATCCACCAAAAGCTCTGATCCGTGCCGAAGTCGTTACCCTCCTGCAGAGTTTCAGGCAATTCTTGATCCAAGGTTTCCGGAAGCGCTAACGTTAAGAACGCATCGATAAACGACAGAAAGCCGAGCACTATCAGCGGTAAATGTTGATTGACGTCGGCCTGAAAACAACGATGACGATTGACTCAATTAATCGATCTGGCGACTGGATTTCGTTTAATCACGCGAATTTTCCGGATACTTTACCAAGTAGATCACGTAGGGTCCGATGATGTGAGCAATGTAGCCAATAATGTGAATCAGAGATACACCTTGCGCCCGCACTACGGTCGGCAACATCTCGGCCGCGTATTGGAAACCGATATTCGCGGCGATATTGACACCGAGACGCGCCAAAATCGCCATGGTGACGGTTAGTGGACCTGAAACATCACGAGTTATGTAAATGTGGCGTGTTACAAGTACATACTATTCGCAATCCGACGAAACTTGGATCGCAGATCGCAGAGCGACAGATTGGAAAATCTTATCTTCACGCTCTTTCCCGTTTTATCTTTCATTTCTTATTTTTTGCACCCTTATGACAATTTTACGTTTCCCGTATTGTTCTGGTGATAAGGGCGAAAAAGCCTGATGACAACAAAAATAATTAACGTCGCGAGTGATAATGTAATTTACCGGGAGGAGTGCTAATAGCGATGAGAGAGAAAACGCCACATATGAACATCGAAGCAAAGCCCATCCACCGCCTGCCCCATCTATCGAGGAAAAGTGCCAGCAGAATCGCCGCCGGAAGCTCGGTTAGCGCGGCTAAGGAGAACGATGTAAACACGTCCGGATCCAACAGCTTCATGTTCCAAACATGTCCGTCGAACACCAGAATGATCAACAGCCTGAAAGCGAACTGTTTGGATCAATAGTCGTTTCAAACGAGGGAAAATAGGTCGGATCTGAATTTTCCTGGCACTCACCAGTAAATAACGAGCATGACGGTGATACGAGCCAGTCGGGGCAGCTTGAAAAGATGCAGGACCGTGTACTGATTGTGCGATTGATCCTTTTCGATCATGTTATTGCAGCTCTTTTCGAATTCCTCGAACACTTCCTGCTTCACTTCCCTGCCGTTGACCTTTGCGAATTTCTTCAGCATGCCGATCGCCTTGTCAACCTTGCCGCTCATAATGTACCATCTAAGGAACAAAATAGGCCAATTATTATGCGCCTATTAGCATCTATACCTACATATGTGCAACATATAAAAGATAATTTTATTTCATGATATACCCAGACAACCAAGTCTGTCGAAAGCAAATCTTGTTAAGTATCTGTTACAAATGTTGTCGGCAGAAAGACTACAGATTGATGCCGATTCTGATGTATCACGTGATGTAAACAGAACGCCAAAAGTATAACATATAATCAGACAGCAGATTGGCAGCCTAAATCGAGCAAATCCTGCTGGAACCGTTCAGGTTCTACGTGGTTTCTGTTATTGCCAATCTCACATTGCCTGTCAATAGGCTCTGTTATTTGCACGATTTCTGCTACCAATCTGATTATGTTAGCAGACTCTGCTGGAAGAACACAAGCTGAATGCGAACATAGTTGATGTTAGTCTGCTGACATATCTGATCAAATCTGTTACCAATCTGCCGACAGACTGCTATATCACTTTGTTCACTGGGTAATTTATATTACAAATTTGATACGAGACAATAAGAATGAAGGCAAATACCGTGCACTTTCTGGGACAAGCCATGGACCGAGGAAAGCGACGATCATCGGGAATGCGGTGACGACGCTTAAAATTCTCCAATCTGCGATCCAATATGCGATCCACGGTAGGAGACTAGCGGCGGCGGCAAAGTAAATCCCGAAGGACATGTTCGCCACCAGAGTTCGGTACTTCGGACCAACGTATTCGATCACTACGACCAAAGTTATCGTCAGTAACGACGACTGAGATGTCGCAATATAATAATTCCATTATAATTGCGTTAGAATTCTATTTCAGAATTCAATACTTTACTTTTAATTGAAACTACTGGGATTAATAAGAACAAAAATACCTATTTGTATCTCCTTAATAAGCTGCTTTATTCGGACAGAAAATTTATTTAAGTCCTTGGTGATTTTTTTATTCGATCGTGACGATACGTACCTATAATGAAGAGTACGTTGAAGCAATTGTCAAACGACGAACCGACGATCAGCCTTGCAACGCAAAAGGACCAAAAGCTGTTGCAGAAGGCGGTTGCGATGGAGGCAAAGAATCCTACGGCATTGCAAGACACCAATGCCGGGATTCTGCCGTAGTGATCGGCTATGTAGCCGAATATCAGGCCGCCGATCATGCTGCCGACGAAGAAGGCCGACTGGGCTGCGGAACCGAGAAAGGTCTTTTCGCAAACCCATTCGAGCTGGCAAAATTAGTGCACATTATTACAATTGCGAAGAGGTTATTATTATTAATAATATTGTCGTCGATGACGTTAATTTGTTAGCATCTTTTGTATATGGATATGCCGCGACTGAAGTAATTTTTATAAATAATTTCTATCATCTTTAGCTTTATAATATTGCAATGCTGAGGAGCTTGAATTGCATCGGACGTCAAATAGCATCAAATATTGATATACATACAACTGAAGCTTACGCTACTTTATATTGGTGACGAGTATTAATAAACGTTGCTCGACGACGTCACCAGTATGGTAATCAATTTTTATTTCGGATATTACGCAACACCAAAAAAATACCGGTGCGTGAACCGTATTTTCGGTTTCTCCGTACCGGTTTCTCTTTCGCTTCGTAAGAAGATACAATGAAGCTGCGCGCTTGGCAAGAAGAAGAAAAGAATAAAAAGCCGGTTGACGTTTCGCTGAGCGCGTCAATCGGCAAATTTATTTATCAATTAGCTGCGGCGACAGTGATTCATGACGAGTGGTAATGGCGCGTTTTAGATAGGTACCTCGGCGGCGATTGAGGCGTACGGTATCATCGTGTAATTGAAAGTCCATCCTTCCTTGCATCGGACAATCGGCCACGACAAATTGGCCTGCCTGACACCTTGCTCCAAGAGTTCAGTATAATTCACGTCGTACATGTAGCATCTCGAGAATGACGTGGCGCTCTCCAGCCTCAATTCCTCGTCAGTAGCTGGGGGTATCCCTACCGCGATCCTGTCATAACCCAGACGCAAACAAAATCGTTAGAAAAACAATAAATTTATATGATTTTTTATATCTCGAATATCTTTAATTCACTATCGCATATAACAAAAGATAAGAGTGACGCGCGTCAAAGAAATGGCATGCTCGTTGAAATCTACGGCGCGCGGCGTTATGCGCGAGTCACGCTAGTATATGACAGCAGATGGGTTCTCCGATCCTTTGGGGACGTGCCATTTTTGCTCGAGGAATGCGATTACGCGTTCATAAATCCAAAGACAGAGAAAATGACAATTTTGTCCTAAAGAGATAGGCGCGTTTCTACTATTCCCCGGAGTATTTATATTTTGTGCGGCCTTTTATTCTCACCGGAGATTACCATTTTAAGTCATGTCGCGGCTAATTTTAATGATGCTTCGCATTTCCCAAAGAACTCTGCGGTTTCTCGAAGATGAGGGGGGAAAAGTCCATTCCTAGATAGTCTTTCAAAGAAGAAAAAGATTTCTCCATCTCTCTCATTCTCTCATTCTCTCATTCTCTCATTCTCTCATTCTCTCATTCTTTCATTCTCTCTCTCTCTCTCTCTCTCTCTCTCTCTCTCTCTCTCTCTCAGAATTCCCGTGGAATCCCTTCGAGGTCGACAACCAAACTGGTTTTCTGTAACTTTGGATATACGACGAGAAGCCACTGATCGAACGATCTGAATCACGTACAACCGCAATGACGGATTTTCCTATGTGACAGTCATGCAGGAAACGTCTGGCACAATTATTTCCGCGCGACACGCGACACTTGCATGGGTAAAAACACTGTATACGATTAAATTATTCCGAAATGCTTGAAAGCACACCAAAAATCGTAGTCAACGAAATATCTCAACGAAAAACGTGTTTGGAAAAACCAGAATTTAGAAATTACGTTTGTCAAATGAATGGTCTCGCACGTCTTTTCGCAATTTTCATTGACGCGAAAAGTTTATGTTCCACTTAAGGAAAAAAGAGAAAGACGTAGGTAATTATGCACTTCTATTTGTGTAACACGCTTACGGCGGAAAGCCTACAAGAAATGAAACGTAATTAGACGTAATTATATTTCTAGCTTTAGAAAAATGTTCTTTTCGTGGGACAAGAACGAAAATTATTCGGACGTGAATTAAGTCATATGTTTAACGCGGAAAAAGAGATTTATCTTTGTCATCTCATACATTTTATTCCTTGAGCAATCACAAAATAACACCTTATTAATCTTACCTCCTATTTTAAACATCATGTATTCAACTTCGGGAAAACCCAACAAGAACGCCGCTGGCAATAATTTATTTTTCGCTTCAAGCGAAGTAAAAACTAAGATCGCACTAAATGAATCATTAGGAGCTTTTATGTAATGTGAATAATAAAATTTTATTCTGGAAAATAAATAAGAGATATGTAAATAGCTCACATATTCTCTGGTATTTTCGATTCAATTATTGTATTAAAATTTGGAAAAAATTTAATTGCAACAGTTTCAAAATATCTTCAAATAATACTTTCTCAAAAGAAAGTTGATTCATAAAAAATTTCACAAACGTTAACAATCTAAAAATTATCGTCATTCTTGTAAAGACGATGAAACGGTGCAGAGAATTTGAGACACACTATATGCATATAGGCAAAAAATCCAACACGCAAGGGTGAATCTATATATAAGCCAACCGGACCTTGGTCCAAGGTCTCGGTCAGCTCGAACCGACTGGACTTGAACTGTCGTTATGAAATAAAGATGAAAAGAATTTCGCTATCTTCTCACTTTTTGTCATTGCAAAACTGTCTCGAACATTATTAAACTTACAAATCTCGGAAATTTTTTGTTTTTTGATCCCGCTCGCACAAAAATATCTTACAGATCCGCGGAAATTACTTCGTGTTAATTATTTAAATATCTCATTACTTTATTTTTTTATTTGTCACAATTATCTAAATGTGAAATATTATTTATCTGTTATTTTGATTTTCGAGTGTGCACATGTATAAAGTATCGAAAGTATCAAAAGGCTTCAAGCTTACTTCTCGTAATCCGTGAGATTGTAATGATTCAACTCCGATATGGTGCACCAATGCTCAGCAGGCACGAGTGTGATGAAAAATTGCGTAAAATACAAAAAGGCGTAAACGAAGGTGAACGGTAGGAGGAGGATGAACAGGAACCACTGGTATCTGCTCGCCTCGCCGACGTACGGCAGAATATCGTCGAAGGTCTCGATCTTCGCGGGACCGTTGCCTTCCTCGACTTTCGTGGACTCGACCATGACCGTCATCGTGATATCTGAAAAGAATAACGAAAAATGCCTGTGATTTTCTTAATGAACGTTTATCGCGACTATATAACGGTGAAAAAAGCTCGTCGAGTATCGTCGGTATACTCGGTATACACGTGGACGTGCGGTCCCGTTCGCTGGTATGTGAGACAACGGGTATGCGGGAACAAAGAACGAAATACATAATGCGATAACGAGGCGAGACGCCTCGGTATCATTATGCCGCTAATGAGCCGAGCGGATCTCCGTAAATGACGACGAGCGTATGGGAAGAGGAAGCTAATAGGAACAAATAAAAGACTGTTATTACGGCATAGCGAACGCAACAACGCGTGTAACTGGTCTTTTTCATTAATTACAATATTTTTACATTAAGCACTAAACTGACCGAACGTCAGAGTTGTATATTATTTGGAATAAGGGAATTTTCTGACTGTCAACGCGGAACAGATAGTTGGAATATCGAGTATGGTAATCAAGGGACCGTGAAAGGTCATGTAAGATCATTATACATACGTCAACATAATCAAAAAGTAGGTGACGCAATATTAAAACAAACAAATATTAAGGAATGTTTTCTCTAGTACTCTCTTTTCAAATTTCGTTCAGATCTGTAATTTCTATCGGCTCTGCGTCAGTTATATCTTTGCGAAAATCGCAGAATCGATCGGCACCTCTCATCCCCTCACTTCTTATTTTCCTTAAGAATCGGGACGTTATTTTTGAAAGTGACAGGAGCGCGCGACTTGGGATATGTTTCTCGCTCGTAATCCTGCAACGCTTTCTTCGAAGAGCGAATTCGGAAAAATATGCGCCTTTACGTAGTTTTATATACGAATATAAATAATTCCGTCACGTGCCACGAACGTTCATGTAATCATAACAGATATATCGTTGAAAATTTACAAGATATCGAAACGATGTTGCATGAATGACGCATTAATTCAGTACAGAAGTAATTACACTGAGCAATTATATACCGTCCTCGACGATATATGTATACGTAACGAAAAAGAAAAAAACGCTGCCGGTAAGTCATCAGCGCTAATAATCCGATCAGATATTCATAAAGTGCGATATATACTTGCGGGGATTGCCTTTAGTAGAAATTATAATTTGCACTGCGGAATAGTGGAACCAAACAAAAAAAAGGTAAACAATATCAGCGAATTCGCAAAAGCAACGCAGTCTTGTTAATTATATTAATAATCCATTGCCGCCTCTCCACTGATTTAATCAGATCTAATTACCACCCTATCTCGCTTATCAATCTGTAATATCTTGCCTCGTTAATTCAGCTTAATTCCATTATTCCTTCTATCCGCTTTTGTCCACTGAATCAATACTTGTGCCGTTTCGAATGATCTATCAACCGTGAATTCTGCGACGTGTGATATTTTCTTGTAACAGAAATAGGAAATTTCATATGGCAATGTAAGCATGAACGTTTAGTACTTCACAGTCTTCACGCAATTAAGTAATAATGTGAAAATCAGAAAATTACAAATTCAGAAAATAAAAGAACGACACGTCAGTTATTTCCACAAAGTGTTAGGTTTTCTGAAACTTCTTATTGTAGCTTCATTGCATTCAGTTTTATCCGTTTTGGCGAAAAAGAAGATAAATTTTTCCCACATTTGTTTCAAAATCATTCCACATTATTTGAAAAAGAAAAAAGGAAAAAATATCTGATGGCACGATTGAAATTATAAGAGACAGACGAACATTTGTTTACCTATTTTGATTCTTCTCAAGTGGAGAACAAGGTAAAGAGTCACGATGGCGCGCACAAAGGTAATTATTAATAATCCACAAAACAAAGATCCACTTTATAAAGTCACAAGAAGTAAAACGGAAAACAGATATTTGGAACGCTCGAACAAAGTATATAAATATTTCTCTTTCGATCGATCACACGATCACGCGAAGAAGGCGTCGAGGAAATCTCGATTTTCTGATAGATTGCCGCGAATCGATATCTTTCAGACCTTTTCACGCACTACATCGTCTCGTTTCGAGAAGCGCGCGGACTGTCGGCAGCGTAACTGATTGGTGGGGCTTTATAGTCTTCCACTACAGATACAGAAAACCACGCGCTTCCCCACCTTAATGGGACCGGTAACGACCGGTAAACACCGGGCGGCTCGGATAAACGCGATCTGTAGGCGCACGGAAAAGGTACGCGCTTTCCGTAACGTCACTGGAGCACGCACGAGCGAGAACGGGGATTTCGCGATTTTTTTTTGTACCGCGTTCCTGCACGCACAAGCGTGCAATTTTTCTGATCGCGTACGCACTCGCTTCACGAACGTCATCGTTTTCCTCCGCGCGGCAAACCGCAACCTTTTGCGCGAGTCTTGCGCGCAGGTGAGTGCACCGATATAAAGAGCGCGGGAAGAGTGCGAATGTTTGTGCGTGACTCTCTGCGTTCACTTCGTCCGAAGGAACGAAATCTCTCGACGCTTGAAAAAATCCAAGCGACGTCAAGTCGGCAAAAAGATTAAGATTCTTCTATCTACTTTCTAAATTTCAAAGAATGGTTTTGTCACTAATATTGTATATTCGAGTCATTACGATAGTCTAAAAGAGAGGATTGTCATTCTAATTTGAATAAATGCGGGCACTTACTCATATGGTAGGAGTTAATTTTTCAATCAAACTTTAGAGCGACTACTCTACCGGAGTGATACGATCTCAGTCTAAAAGCTATAGAGTGACAGAGAGAAATTTTCGGTAAATATGCATAAAACTGGTGCCACCTCCAATGACTTTGACCTTTTTTTTATAACGGGGGGAAAATTCACACGAATACCTCCTCTCCCGGGGTGGGGAAGGCGGTTATGTGGGATTTTAACCCACTAAAAACCCCCTCGAATGTCCCCTCACGGCGCTTTTTGGGGAGGCCCCGGGAATCACATAAAAAGTATACCTTCCGTTAGTTTCCCCACAATGACTTTGACCTTGACATATGTTGTCAAGGTCACCCTTCTGAGTAACCTTCAAAAGGTTTTAGCCGGCGGTCGTTTTTTATTAAAAAGTTATTAACAAAAGAAGTTTGAAAAATATAGCAGTTATTTTGAATATTGAAAGGCATAAATGACTAATATGTGAAAATAGCACATGTATAAACAAAAAAAGTCATTTAAAGCAGACATTGAACAGTTGTTTTGTTAAAACAGAGAATAGTTGGTAGATTATAGAAATCAAAGTATATGTATACAATTGTATATACATATATAATTGCAAGAATACAAAAATAAGTATTCTCTGCTTTACCATAAAATTATATAATTATAATTGTAAATATTATTTATTAAATGTGTGGGCGGGAGAGGGACGGAGTCCTTCCCCCTGCGCCCCCACCCCAAAAAAATTAACCTAACCTAACCCAATATAGGCTGTTTTATCTCCACCGCCCTACACCTGGCGGTGTAGGATTAAATTCGCTTTTTTTCAATACTCAAAATAACTGCTATATTTTTCAAACTTTTTTGGTTAATAACTTTTTAATAAAAACGACCGCCGGCTATAACGTTCTGAAGGTCGCGCATGAGAGTGATCTTGACAACATAATGTCAAAGTCAATGTCGTTGGGGTAGCACCAGTTTTATACATATTTACCAAATTTTCTACTCAAAATTGTAAAATGACATAATTTACTCTTATGAACACTGATCTTCTGCACTCGAAAAAAGTGCCCTTTCACTCAAATGGGGTGCGATTTCGCTCCAACTTATAGAGCGCAATTTTATTCTTTCTTGGAGTGGCGAATCACTCGAAGTGCACAGGCTCAATTTTCACTTTTCGTTAGACTTGCATTTCACTCGTTTTGAGTGATATTTCACTCTTTGAGTTTTAGAGAGTATCATAAAAGATCATACCTATACACATACATATTTTTAAATAAAATAACCATGTTTATCTTCCGATCAGTAGGACAGGTCTTAACTCTTCGATGATCCAAGTAATATCGAATCTCCGATCTCCGATAAAGATTAAGAAATCTAGAATCTTTTCAAGTAAAATATTTACGTCGTTATTTTCATAAACGGTCAAGTTCATCTATTATATAAAATACTTACTTTGATCTGTGTCTCTTCCGGTCAGTCGACCCCGGCCTCGGAGATGCCAAATAAAACCTTGAAATTTTTATTTTATTGCAATAACATTTAGTAATTAGTTTATTTTTTCTCCTTTATAATTTTTATAATTATATTAAATACATCTGAAGAAATCTAAACCTAATAAGTCATTAATTTATAGTAATGCTATATTAATGATTTAATTAGGATGTAATTAGTCATAATATTAAAGTCGGAAAATATGTGAAAATGTTTTGTTTAATCATGTGTTTCGGCAAGGTTTCAATATCTCGTTCGGCAAATATCGGAGAATTACATAGGTTGAGAAATCATGGATACAAAACACTGCTTTTATCTATTTTTGATCGATATTATTAATCTGGTAATATTTTAATTCAAGAACAATTTATTATGTCTAAATAATATGAAAAATTAACTGCGTATCAAGCGATTCAGTTTCAATGATTTATAGTACTTGTTCAATCGCACAATATTCAATTAAACGTCAATAATTTAATTAGGTGGAGAATATTTCCTCTTCGAGCGTCTTTTTCTCTTAAATTATCTGTTATAATAGTTTCGCTAGTTTTGAGTAACAACTCATAATGTATGCGGAAATTAACAAGTCAAGTATCAATTATAATTATAGAAAAACGTGCGTCACTAATCTCGTCGTACAAGAAAAAAAGGAAAAACTAATACGTGAATCATGAGGAAACTTGTCATTCATAAAAGAAGCTCTAATGATAGATCTTCATTCGACACGATTATATGTATCATCGTGCGGGGTACTCTCAAAGAGATTCACAATACAGTAATTTGCGAACGATGACATCCAAACTGGGAGAACTTACTATCATCCAAGCAAATGCGCGATGGCGCAACTATGGTTCACGCAAACACAAATCTGTTTGCGGGGGATTTTTGGAGATTATCCAAAAAACATAAAAATATGAACATAAAATGAACAACACGTTGTCACATCAATGATAAGCTCATGATAATATAATGACAACATGATGAAGCTCTTTCTTCTATAATACCTATAATAATAAATGTCTTTTCTCGCTTCTGTTTTATGGTCTAAACGAAAAACGTCTCCGAATATATTTATCTTAAGGGCAAAACCTGATTTCTTGACAAAATGTGAAAACTCTTCCTAAAATTTTTCGATAAATATCGAATTACGGGATAATATTGAGCAAAACAATCGCGATGGCGAAAGGAGGAAATTATTTGGTTAAAAAATCGTGAATTTGAATTATTTCAATCTGAAAGTCACGAACGACGTCGAACATTCGCCAAAAGGTGAATTGCGTACGCAGTGCATCGATAAATATCATCGATCAGCGACGGTGCCTCAACTTCCGACGGCGATGCGTCGTGAGTTCTCGCAGAGTGCTCCAGACCCGAAGATGACGACCTTGATTGATGGCACATGCGCAGGGAAAACCCGAGATAACCGGAATAGAACGCCGGTTCAGACGAAATACCGAGGTGGAGATGTCGAGAAAGACGACGAAAGGTAAGGCCGGACGGGACGAAACCGGTTGACGAACGCGAACGACGATCCGACGTGACGGTGGAAGAGCGGCTACGCGGCGCGGCGTCGCGGAGAAGGAATGCCCGAGCGTCATCGTCTCGCAAGACTGAAGAAAACGCGCGAGTTCTTGCTTGTGCATGAAGGAAAAATTCGAGGAACGGCGGAGAGAAAATACTTGCGGAGCGTACGCGACGTCACGGGAATCCTGGCCTTCTTTTTTTTCCCTAAATGTCATCGCGCACGCACGTCACATATCTCGATGCATGCAGTTTGTTTCATCGTAGCATAGAGAATTACGAATTGCGTCGATCGACAATACCTTCAATGATAAACTCACTTCTAAAACCGACGATAAATATAATATTAAATATATAAATATTTATAACTACATGAATCTTAATTTGTCTTTTAAATTAAAACTTCACTAAGAATGTTACTTCTAGTCAGGAATGACATTCCATGTTTGGTGATTGATAAATAAAAATGTATTTATAATTCGCCTTTTAATTGAATCATAAATAAAAATTTATTTCTTATTTGGCCACTTGTGAATGACGAAGAAATTTGTAGATATTCATTATTCACAAAAGTGGCCAAATAACGAATACATTTTTATTCGTCATTTAATGGAAAAAAGAATAACAAATAAATTTTTATTTATTATTTAATGGAAAAAGAATAACAAATAAATTTTTATTCATCATTCAATTAAAAGGCGAATTATGAATACATTTTTATTCTTTAATTTTTTGTTATTTAAATAAAAAATTAGTAAATAATGCCGATTCACGCTTCTAGCATTCACATACATTAGCGTCTCAAAAATTTCGTTATAAAAGTTAAAATAGCTTTGTAGAGCTCTAGCTTATTTTTAGTCGCATTTTGCTATAACATAATAGGCTTTCGCAAATTCTTTTGATGCAAACCGATAGGTATTTCATAATCGTCTAAGCGCTAATCGATGGCATTCAATTTAGTTTTGACAGCGATATTTATCACACTAAAATGATAGATCGATTAGAGTGACGAAGTCAGCGTTGAAATCGCGTGAGCGACAATAGCGATACGATATTTAAATTGATCTGTATTATGACAATAAAAATTAAATGATTTTGGCGCCGCAAGCATTGTCGGTTTGAAACGATTAAATTGACACGGACGATATTAATTCCAGCGCTGCTCTGCTCAAATGTGATCGCCGCGAGAATGTTGTACGATAGAACTCTCGCGTGGCATCGTCCTTGAAAATTGCAATAATTGCATAAAACGTATATGAATCTAACGAGCTGTTAAGCGAGGACATGATAAAAGCGACACGAGAAACGACAGTATAGGTTGCGATAGAGTATTACGACAGCATATCGGAAGCGTGTCAGATACGAAATAAAGATGCAAACAAACGACGCGAGTCACTGT